AAGTTGTCTCTCTCCACTTCACCTCTTTCATTGCCATTTTCCCAGTCTAGTAGGTACCCCTGCCCTTAATCGAAGAACTAATGATATGAAATATACCAAATGTGTTTTGTCTCAAAGTTCTCAATTGACCAATATTTTTATTGGATCACTAAGAAGTTGCAAATAATGCTGAGATTTCAGGTTTTCTCCAGAACGTTACCTCAGGTATTGATGATATAAAGTTGTTGTTTAAGGACATAGTTTTCAAAGTAAGCCATCTGCAGTAAATTTCTCAAACCAAGTAGAAAGGCTTTCTCAATCCAAATCTGATTATCTACTACTACCACGCTCCCTTTCTATCTAAAACTTACATGGACTCCATGACTAAAACCAGCAGCCCTCCTTCAGGTGTCCTTGTCTAAAAAATGAGGAAGGAGCTATAGGAAAGAGAATCTTTTTGGGGATACCCCATTGATGGAATGCACTCCTGAGCAAAACCAGGGTGATGATTGAAATATGGCAGTTTTTAATGGCAATGAATCCCCCACCTTTAAAAAAAAATGCCTCCATTAACTCTAGGAAATAGTGGTGGTAACACATTACGATAAAATTAACAATAATCATCCCCACCTGATTAAACTTGTGATTCCACACAACAGCGCTTTTATCAATGGTGAAACTTTTGCCTAAAGAAGCCCAAGGATCCATCCTTCCAACTTGGATTTCGCTGTAAGATTCGTTGGGAAATGTGACAAAATTCATGATATCGTATCCTGCAGCCAGTTGTCCATTCTCATCAAAGATGATTTCTTCCCCAGCACTGTTGTTGAACTGGATATTCCTCAAAAAAGAATGAAGCTAGGGTGCAGAAATGTACAATTCCAGGCAGAGAGCAGGAAATGAGATCCTGCTCCTCATATGCCAAGCGTTCAGAAATGTTCCTTCCATAATGAGATGAAAGATGTCAAGGGGAACTGGTATTCCTCTGCATAGCCAGGATATCTCACTGAACCCATAGAATTTGTTCCCTACACTGAATCAGGCTACATAATTGTCTATTCTAGTACATGTATTTCAAGAAACAGTGAGTCACTAGGATGTTGAAGCAGAACTTGTATCCTGCCTTGCTTTCTGACTTCTGCTCTTTTAACTGGATAATCCAGGAACTAGGGAAGTACAGAGCTCCCTCATGGCAGAACACTATACTACCGAGTGTATGCCAACCTTGTTTTTTTGTTGCCACTTTGGCTATCCATCCAAATCTCTTGAACATTTGCATTTCATGATCTGCAAATGACCAGTAATGACCAAAAGAGGCCTATAGGTGGCACTAATTTTACATCATTTTGTAATGCTAAAGCACAGAGAGGGTTTTTTTATGGAAGAAATTATGACTTGAGATGTAATATTAAAAAAATTGCAGCTGAAAGCCAGTAACATACACATATAAATCTACCATCAACTAGGACTTGAAAAGAATGATGGCAAAGTAAATGGTAGTACTTCAAGTTCTATCCTTTAAAGAAAGTGACTTGTAAAATAATAACATCTGCATGGGCAAAAATTGATAAATCTTTTAAATGGCAATATCAACATCTTACAGGCTTACTGGAATCCCTATTTTTCTTTTTTGTTTTTACAAAACACCACATGACAGGGCTGCTAAAAGCATCTGCAACTCATCAGCTATGAAAACTTCATTTTCAAAGGTTGAATAACTCTTTGGAAAATTATTAACATCACCTCTTTCAATAAGAGTCTAACAATAAACAGCATAAGTTCCCGTAGTGATACTAAATGAAATTTCAGTCATTAAAACTAATAACTTTTACATCTTGGCACCAAAAACTTCTAAAAATTCAAAAAGTAATTCTTCAAAAATTTATCACATTTTTTTTGTGAGACCCTGTGTTCCGTACAACTCACCATGCTATTATAATTAGATAAGAAATTTGATCAGTGGTTGTACCAGGACCACTCCTACCGTCAGACCTTCCATCGTGAGAATTGCCATCCAAGTCTCCTTACATCCTGATGGGTCACTCTATCCACCACACTCTATCCATCACTCTATCTCATTGGCTCGCTGCTCATTTTAGCAACATAAGGATTGGATGAAACTGGAGTGGGAGCAAAGATGCACTCATGTTTCATGCAACACATCGTGCAGTTTCATGTTCATTTGTTTTGGCAACTTCAGATAGAAATTACATAAATTATTTATCTTATTTCATGTTGTATTTTGATTTTCCTTTATTTTGTACTTCTGATTACCTGCCATGGCTGAATATGGTGGAGGCTCCATTTCTCTCCAGGCTCCTTCCGCTTCTGCGTAGCTCGGGATGAAAAGGCTGCATGGAGCGCATGAGCTACAGCATAAACAGCATTGTAGGTACTGTAGCTCTGGCCAGACATGCCCATTTCAAACACACTCCCAGGAAGGCTCCTCAGCTTCTCCCCTCCACTACAAATCTTCTGATTTGGATAATTGAGGCTGTAAAGTGGGAATGAACAGAGAAATGCAGTACACCAAAACTCATGGAGGAAATAAATCTGATCCTGATATGGGTTCATATTCTCCAGAAAGTTCTCAAATCCTGGCACCACGTTTGTGTGGAGTCTGAAGGACAAGGTTCCATGGAAAGATTTTGCCGTCAGTTTTATCCCAGCAGGTAAAGCTGTGAAATCCCACTGAGCTTTGGTCACCCACACCCTCCTTTGAGGCTGCATTT